GCACTGCAAACTCTATTCAGGGGAGATAATAGAGTTTCGAAACTTTACAATTGCTCCAATAAACCAGTGAATATTGCAAGCGAGGAACAATTAGTTTTAGAGTATTGCACTAGCTGTCTTTTTCTATTTGAGTGCACTCCTACATTTATTTTGTATCATCAACACTCGATCTGCACGTTGGAGTGGACTATTTAATTATTTTTTATTATGCCGAATATTGGAGGGGGGGGGAAAATGTTTTGGAGGGGTGGACATTTTGTCTGGGGGTTATAGCTGATTATGGGGGTAGGTACCCCTGCACCCCCAAAATCTGTCTCTGATTTCAGATTGCGTTATAGTTTCATGGGGGGGGTGGTTAGAGGGTGTCATGAAAATTAGTGTCTTAAAATTGGTAGTTTCACTTATGTGTATAATCTCCATAACTATTAATCTACTCTGTCTATTGCCAGACAAGTTTACTCATTGATTGTATTATGCGTTTCATTCATAAATTTTAGACATCGATTTCTGCCATTGTCTTAATTAACTTCTTACTCCCCGGTGAGATGTTGTTGATTCAAATTGATTGATACATTTACTCTCTCATAAACAGGTTTTCAAATACCCCTCAGAAAGTCTTATCCATGTGAGGAAATATAATAAATGGAATGTATGGCTGGTGTCTCTGGAAATTTGGCACCCCTTAAATTTGCCTCCCCCCCGGACATATTTGCTAGGAAATTTGGCTAACCCAGGCCATATTTCCTAGGATATTTGGCCCAGGAGAGGTATGTTTTTTGGAGAGAAGGAATATTCCCTGTTTATACACTGGTTCTATAAAAAAAAAGTATGGTTGGATAGCATATGAGTTGCAATTCAGTAACAGTCCCTAATTTTAGATCAACTTTTAGGGTTTTAATACTATAGAATTAATGTTTGAAATTACAGAAAGTTATACACCTATCAATGTTAATGGGGGGGGGGGCAGTATATGTGGGGTATTTGACCATCAATTACATCCCCACCCAGGGATTTTTTATTTATTTAGTTAGGGCAATTTGAACCAAATGACTTTTATTAATATAGTATTTATTGCAATTTATTGCAATTTATTGCAAAATGGTGGGGTATTTGACCAATATTTATTGCCCGACTGTGGGGCATTTGATTGAAAATGTTCTCAAAAAATCAAATGCCCCACCTATGCCCGCCCCCCCCCCTCCCTCTGGGGCTTAACATTGATAGGTGCATTAGGATTAAGATTAGGGTTAGAGTAAGGATTATGACTTAGGGTTAGTATTAGGTCTAAAAATACAAAAAAAAATACAAAATAAAAAAAATCTAAAAATAGTACTGCGATAATTTTCCAGTTGAGCATGGAATTGCAAAAGTTTGTTCATAGAGTTTGTTCGCTAACTTTTGTCGTTTGAAAACAATGTTTGTGACATCATTCTACAATGTTACCAGGCAAGCACACAATGTTTTCAAGTAAAAACCGTTAAAAACTGTCAATCATTACAAAACAAAATAATTTTCTATTTATAGTCGTGAACTTGACACTACTTTACTTGACAACATTGTCAGCTCGCTTAGCAACATTATAGAATAACGTCACAAACATTGTTTTCAAACGACAAAACTTAACAAACAAACTTTCGCGATTCCATGCTCAACTGGAAATCGCAGTAACACTTACTAGAACGTGACAGGTATAATGGTAGGTGAAACAATCGAATATAAACACTAATTAATACACTACAGTATAATAAATAATTCACTTACAAGTTCGTCTATCCCATCACATTCAGTGGCGCATAAATCCTGCAAATCCCTTTGAATCGGTCTTAAATAGCATCTTGCCTGACCCAACACAGATCTTAAGTAGTCAACAGTGAATCCTCCTTTTGGAATTGGAATTACATCTAGGCCCCGGCCAGACCTTGTTGAGGTGCGCAGTAATTCTACTCCTCCTGACGATTCGAGAGGCGGAAAAGCTTCATAAAATTTATTCATGATCTCTTGACCTTTAGCTTTCTTGTCAATAACTAATTCTTTTTCACCAAGGCCTTTCATTTGTAAGTCTATTTTTTGTTTGACGGATGGAGTAGTATCATGATCTGTTGTTTCTAAACAAATAAATTTGTGAACCCAAACACCGGAAGAACATTGACCTCCGCTATCAACTCTGGCTCTCTTCGCACGGCGGTTCACACCACCGCCTTTTTTAGGACCTGGCTTCGTTGATGTTTTAGCTGGTTGGTAATTAAACAACTTCTGATGTTCAATCCTGGCGCTGTTGCTATTTCCTGGACTATGTGTACCAGCTGTATTTGGCCTCAGCGTAATCGGGATCAGGAGGGAAGGAACACTAGCTGACCGACCACCACTCATTTCCTCGTTCAATAAGAGTCGCGACGCTTCTGCTAGGTTATTAGCACAATTTTCCAACAGTTCCCTAGCTGTGTTCCCACCAGTGAGGTTCCCACTAATACTTGCACGACTAGAAGACGTCATAATTTAGCATTTACGCTCGCATTTACGAAATATTTAAATTTTAAATTATCAGCAATGTATAAAAATTTCCAAGTTCCTTCGGGCTTCGCCACGTGGGAAATAAGGAGTAAGGCCCGATATTGCAGAATATACACTTTATATCTATTGTGTAAATAGTGTATATATATACAGAATAGCCTGTATATTGCGTATATGTATACACTATAGACATGTAGGATATATTGTGTATATTCTGCAGCCTATATAAGTAGTCACAATAGACAATGTATGGTCAAAAGTGTATAAAGTGTATATAGTGAGTGTTTGAGCGAATGTCCAAGAGTATATAGTGTATATTGTGTATAAAGTGTCTATATATACACAATATACGTATATTATCAGTATATAGTCAAAAGTGTATAAAGTGTATATAGTGAGTGTTTGAGCGAATGTCCAGGAGTATATAGTGTATATAGTGTATAAAGTGTCTATATATACACAATATACGTATATTATCAGTATATAGTCAAAAGTGTATAAAGTGTATATAGTGAGTGTTTGAGGGAATGTCCAAGAGTATATAGTGTATATAGTGTATAAATTGTCTATATATACACAATATACGTATATTATCAGTATATAGTCAAAAGTGTATAAAGTGTATATAGTGAGTGTTTGAGGGAATGTCCAAGAGTATATAGTGTATATAGTGTATAAAGTGTCTATATATACACAATATACGTATATTATCAGTATATAGTCAAAAGTGTATAAAGTGTATATAGTGAGTGTTTGTGTGAATGTCCAAGAGTATATATAGTGTATATTGTGTATATAGTGTCTATATATACACAATATACGTATATTATCAGTATATAGTCAAAAGTGTATAAAGTGTATATATAGTGAGTGTTTGTGTGAATGTCCAAGAGTATATATAGTGTATATTGTGTATATAGTGTCTATATATACACAATATACGTATATTATCAGTATATAGTCAAAAGTGTATAAAGTGTATATAGTGAGTGTTTGTGTGAATGTCCAAGAGTATATATAGTGTATATTGTGTATAAAGTGTCTATATATACACAATATACGTATATTATCAGTATATAGTCAAAAGTGTATAAAGTGTATATAGTGAGTGTTTGTGTGAATGTCCAAGAGTATATATAGTGTATATTGTGTATATAGTGTCTATATATACACAATATACGTATATTATCAGTATATAGTCAAAAGTGTATAAAGTGTATATAGTGAGTGTTTGTGTGAATGTCCAAGAGTATATATAGTGTATATTGTGTATATAGTGTCTATATATACACAATATACGTATATTATCAGTATATAGTCAAACGTGTATAAAGTGTATATAGTGAGTGTTTGAGTGAATGTCCAAGAGTATATAGTGTATATTGTGTATAAAGTGTCTATATATACGCAATATACGTATATTATCAGTATATAGTGCAGTATATACATGCAGTAGTGAGTGTTTGAGTGTATATTGTGTAGTCAAAAGTGTATATATTTATATAGTGACAATATGTGTCATGGAAGGAAGTGGGATTTTCTAAGAACAAGGAAACATATTTGCCTTTATGACTTTAGTTATGTATCATGCATATATAACTGTGCATGTAGCACTGAATGTATAAAGCGGGATTTTTTTAAGAACGAGTAAACTGAGGAAACATATATGCCTTGATGACTTATGTATCGTGTGACTATGTGTCACTGATTGTACTATAAAGCGGGATTCTTTTAAGAACGAGAAAACATGCCCATTATCACTTCTACTTATAAAATTAAAATATAACCATAGGCTATAAGACCGCGGTTTGAGTGTAAGAACGGGGAAACATAATTATTTGCCTTTATGACTTCAGTTATGTATTATGCATATGACTATATATGCATGTGTCACTGAATGGTATAAAGCGGGATTTTTTTAAGAACGAGGAAACATATATATAGCCTTGACGACTTATGTATCATATGACTGTGTCACTGATTGTATATATAAAGCGGGATTCTTTTAAGAACGAGAAAACGTGCCTTTATGACTTCCACTTATAAATATAACCATAGGCATAGGCTATAAGACCAGTTTCAGTGAAAAATGTGTAATGGAATATTTACATGATTACAGAACAACGTTTCATATCTGCATGCATTAGTATTTACAAATTACAATTACAATAGCGGTATTTAATCACTAAGATACCAGTATCTGTTAAAATATATATATATGTAGATATTAATGAATAATCTAGTTGTAAGCAAGTAAGGTGTCGCTTTTTTATCATACTGATATTGGTATCTTAGAGATACATGTTGCCGGTAAATAAGCTTAATTCTCTGGACTATATAGTTTAATGGTTTATATAACAAACTGTATTTTCAGTTCTAACTTTAACCTAAAGAGTAAAGACTAATTAGTATATAAATGCATCTAAGATTGAGTTTTTGCATGCATGCAACTATGTTTGTAAATTGTATGGTGTTCATATATGATTGTATTATTGATTGAATTTTTCCAAGTCAACCTTCAATCGTTTTAGAATATTTTTCTGCTCTTCGTCTAGATCGTCGATTTTTCTCTTGACAAGGGTTTTCTTCTCTCGTTTTTGTTTTCCTGCTTGGTATTCAGCAGTGACAATTTCGCCAAGTTTGAGCTGTAAAACGTGTTCCATTAACGCTTCTGCTTCTTCTTTCCTATATTTATTGTCTACTCTTTTTTGTATATGACGTTGAGTAATATGTGTCACGGATATAGGGGATGGTAGCTCAAGTAGCCGTTTTACTCTGTGCTTGTCAATCTCCTGTGGCTGACAGTTGTCAGTGTTAGTGGTATTGGCAGGTGGCGGTTTAAAAGCGGGTTTCCCGAGGGCAAATTTCTGAGCAATGCAGAATTCGATCAGATGGATAGCCCGTTCCATGAATTCACGCGGAATTTCAAACAACCAGGATGGTTGATCGTCCGTTTCCTTTATGACCAATGCCAATGCTTGATCAAGAGCAAACAAGACGGCGGCAAGACGAGCGACCTGTCCTTTTGCTTTAGACAGAATACTTTTCCGGTCTTTGTCGCGTCGATGCTGGTTTCTCTTTCTTTCATTTAGTTGGTCATGGAATGACACAAATTCTTCATGCGCGTCGTTAGACAACGTGTAGTTGTGGTTGGATGAGCTGTGGTTTTCATCTATTGCTCGAAATAAATCTTTTAGATCAGGTGTTCCTTCCGGCGGTTGAATGATGTCGTCGTAGTCTACGTCCTGTTCGGGGGGGCACACGAAAAGTTGACGATCACAGAAGCCATCGTAATCATTGCTATGCAGGAGATTAACAATAACATCAGGTTGAACGAAACCGGCGATGTTGAAATGGGTGCATGGGACGATGCTGTTGGAGGTTCTAAAATTTCTTCGCCATGGGCTGCCGTTTATTAACGAAAGGAATGTCTTTCGATCAGAGTTTCCGCTTTTATATTTATCTAGTTGTTCATACAACAGGGAAATCTCGTCGTAAAGGCCAACAACTCTTCCGTCATTCCTCTTCAATGTGTAATGAAGCTCTTCCATAGAAAAATGTTCAATGTAAATTTGCCGCGAATGATTTTCCTCATCATCATCATTTCTAGCATCGTCA